CCCCACTCTCATCTTCACCTTCACTTTCACTTTCAAGTATACCCCAAGAAACAAACTCTCTCCTTCTATACAAAAACCTCATAACTTAGGAAAAAAAGAAGAAGAGGTAAAACTGTAGAAATATGGGAAGCAACACTCAAGCTGGCGGAGAGACCCTGGTGAAATCATCAAGATTTAAGCGTATTTGCGTCTTTTGTGGCAGCAGCCCCGGCAAGAACCCCAACTATCGCCATGCTGCCATCCAACTCGGCAACCAATTGGTATTATACTTTCTCCCGATCTCTCCTTTCTGATCTCTGAATGACTAAATTTCTAACGGACCACGTTTTTACTGCCATTTTGTCTCACATTTAATCTATAAACGATGGTTAATTGGATGGATTATATATCGATCAATTATAATTTTCATCTTCCTCTCATAAACCCGGAACCTATATTTATGTACAATTCTAATGACAAACGATTTTCTATTGAAAAGACAGATGAGAATTATTTTCCATAGAATTCTTCTAAAAACAATATGAAATCATACAAATGACTTCAATCTTGCATCATATTGAAGTAAAAAGGGTGTCTTTTAATTACTAAATTATGAATTTTTTGGAAAAAAAAAAGTAACAAATGACACATATTAATTTTTCGAAGCTAATTCTGTAATGCAAGTTATAGGTCAATAGATCATTTTGTTAATAAATTTTGCAACATATCTTCCGAGTGATTTCATTAGATAATTAACACATTACCTGATTGATATTGTCACAAATAAATTTATGATATTTATTATAGTTCATTTATTTACGGTTTTAATTTTTGTAAGATAACCAAGTGAATTTTGTGTTGCTCGTCCTTTTAAAACATTGGAAAATTCCTAATTATTTGGACATTATATATATTTCCTTATTTGTTCTTTATTTAAAAAAATATTTTAAATTATTAATAATGATGAATCAGTTTATTAATTTAAATGGGTTTTTTGTTTGTCGTTTTGGTCTTGTTGGGTGTCCGGTGGCGTTGATTTTTGTTGGATTTCGGTAACGACCTCCCTCCTTTCTATGCCTTATAGATGGCAGGTTGGTTTCGTTTGGTCGTTTTGTGTTATCAGTCTTTTTGTTCCTGTCCAGTTTTAATTAATATATTATAAATTAAATGTTAAAGTTAGACATTTAAATTTGAATTGAATGATTATAAAATAAATGTAAACGATCACGACTTTTTTTTATTTAATTGAGGGAATTTTGGGTTGAATCCACGAATTGCATGCGTTTGTTAAATATGTAATTAATTATATGGAAAGTGTATCGTTATTATTGTTATTATTCTCAATGTAATAATTAGTCAAATAGAAGTGCTAGATGGTGGGTATTAAATATAATAAAAAACCATATTTATTTAATTATGCTTCTAAAGATTCTGAGACGCATTTAAAATGTATTTTTAAATTAAAAGATCAATATTATTGATGTAAATAAATTATATTTAAAATAATTGAAAAATAGACATATAGAATAAAAATAATAATTGGAATGTGGGTGCAGGTTGAAAGGAACATCGACTTGGTCTACGGAGGAGGAAGCATCGGCCTGATGGGTCTAGTCTCCCAAGCTGTTTACGATGGTGGTCGCCATGTCATGGGGTATATAAATTAAAATATCCAATTTTAATTTAATAACTCATTATTTTCTAATAATTAACATAAAATAAACTTACTTGTATTTTATGCATAAATAGTTGTACATTGAAGACCATTTGATTTTTCTAACAGATATATGTTGGCTTTCTTTTGCAGGGTTATACCTTTTTCCCTTATGCCCAAAGAAGTATGTTTTATTTGTTTTTTGTTTTTTTTTTTATCTTTTTATTTAATTTTCCGAATGAAAACTAATATTCAAAACGTTCAGATCACCGGAGAGACCATCGGAGAAGTAAGGCCAGTGTCGGATATGCACCAAAGGAAAGCCGAAATGGCTCGTCAAGCTGATGCATTTATAGCCTTACCTGGTACACATAACATCTATAAACAGTTTCTTTTTCTTCTTTTCTGATTGTTTTTTTTTTTTAATTATAACTTTTATTTATAAATACGGTGTTTATAGGCGGGTATGGCACACTTGAAGAGCTTCTTGAAGTTATTACGTGGGCACAACTTGGAATTCATGAAAAACCGGTAATTAATATCATCAAAATATTATTTTTCATTTAATAGAAATATGATATTTAACTCTAAAACTGATTATTTTTATTGGGTTCATGCTGACCCCACCATATTTTCTGCATATCCAAGTTACGATTGAGGATTGTTGGTTTGGTACTCGAAATCCACAAGGGACTCATTAATTTATTCCAATAATATTTTGTAGGATTTATATTTAAAATAAATTGCACCTACTTCCTATATTCATGGAAACCTAAATACATTGACTACAAAAATAAGAATAACCTTTAATTTTGTTTAAAAAAAACAACATATAAAATAATAAGATATCTGGATGTAGGTAGGATTGTTGAATGTGGATGGATACTACAACTCGTTGTTGTCTTTCATAGACACGGCTGTTGATGAAGGCTTCATCACTCCCGTTGCTCGTCACATTATCGTGTCTGCCCCAGATGCCCATGAGCTAATCTCCAAGCTTGAGGTAACACTTAACCTCCTTTCATTGGTTAATTTAATTATATATACTCTTTTGGCTAAGCAAGTAAAATTATGAAGTTGTTATAAAAAATGATTCTCTATATGTAACTTAGACCTTATTTCTACTAATTTTCTCTTATTCAAATCAGTATCAAATTTGCATTTATATGTTAACAGTATTCAGAAGCAACTTAAAATGATTCAAATAATTAATACTTTTGTTTAATATAATTGATGATGGGGGCAAAAAAACTGATGTTAAGTTTATGGGTGAAGGAGTACGTACCTGATAACAACGGAATGGCATCCAAGTTGAGTTGGGAAATGGAGCAACAATTGGGTTATTCTGCAAAGTCGGAGATTGCACGTTGACTTCCTTAACAAGCGTTAGATTGAGGTTTATAGTGGCTACACATGTAAACTCAGCTCCACGCGATCTTACCACCGTCCAACCACAACAGTTCCCCTCCTAATTAAACAATATGTCAAATGTCAATAGCTTGTAGACGTGAATTCAATTATTTCCAAGAAATTTATTATTTCTTTTCTCCTAAAAAATATATACATATACTGATATCCTCAACATTTTATGATTTGAATGAAGGATTCTTTGTTTTCATAAAGCAATAGAGTTTTGAAAGGTGGTGGGATGTGATGGTTAAGTTCTTGATAAGCTTTCAATTAGTTTCATATGTTGTTCCACGTCAAACAAATAAAGCGGATCAAATTATTTGACACAAATAACTAATTTTATACGATGTTATTATTACAAAGAGATATGACATTATGCTAATAAGTGTCCTATAAAATTTAATAAAAATGCTAAAAAATTTGAAATAGATGAAGATATTGAAAGTATAAGTATAATATATTGATATTGTTTTATAATAATATGCCAAAAAAACTAAATTGAAACATGCTTGTAAGCTTTGGAAAAAAGAACGCCTTTTTTTTGTTGCAAATGAATCACCGTGTCATTCAATTCTAATCTTTAGTACTTAGTTTACAATTATTAACAGATTTTGAACTACCCATGGCATGTTTTTCGAATCCAATATCCAATGGATGATTGGATCGGTTCGGTTCGGTTCGGTTCCGTTCACATCTAATGAATGTCAACCGATGAACAAATCTAGCCACAGGGATGTAAATCAAAGACAACATTAAAATGTCTAGCAAGATATGCATATAACATATAAGAAAGGTATTTGGTTCATCAAGTTGGGTTGGATTCAAATGGGTCTAGCTCAATTCTAACCCAGTACGTAAGATATAAGATTTTACAACTCAATTAAGCGTCGAATGACTTCAGCTTAGGTTATTTTCAGTTGTGTTAATTATGCGGATAGGTCGGGTTTTTATGTGTACCATGTACCAAGCCGTTTCTTTGATATTGTGACCCGTCTTTTCCATGTCAAGCTTGGGTTAGCACTACAAGAAAGCATTAGATCGTCCACACTTATGTCCATATAATTTGAGAAGTCTGAAATTTTTTCTTCACGATCACAAGTATGTGAAAGTTGTTCACAGTAATAAGCATCACTACAGCAAAATCATGTTAATGACCGTTTTATAACACTAAATTTATAATATCAAAAAATAAAGCGTTATATTTAAAGGCGTTGTAATAAGTTTATAGTACGTTGATGGGTTTCTTAACAAGTTTTTCAGAACAATTTTAATATAAAGTGTCACATTATCAATAATATTGGACACTAAGAAAGTATCCTATAAAATTGCTAATGTGACGTTTTATATTAAAAGTGTCCTAACAAACTTGTTAAGACACCATAAAATGTTTTATAAATTTATTACAACGTCTTTAGATAAAACGTTTTATTTTTTGGCCATATAAATCAAGTTTTATAAAGTAGTCTTTTAGTACGCTTAAAAATTGATGACATCCTATAAACTTAAATTTGTTATAAGATGTGTATTGTGTGAAAATACAATGTAATATTTCAAAATGTACGTACTAAAAAAAATACAAAGAACTTATAGAAATTGTAAAAAAAAAATTAAATAGATGAAATTTGGCTAATTTCCCTACACTTTTAATAAAGGAGATTCAGATAATTTCATCGCACTTTTAAGCGAGATGATTTAACCAATTAGTCAACACGCTTTTCTATCATGAATAAAACATGTATTTTTAATTCTACAAATGTAAAAATATGTTAAATATATAGAATTAAGAGTTAACTACAAATTTAGTCCCGGTGGGTTTTTCTTTCCTGTTATCATGGTTTGTAAAAACATCTGGATTTATCGTTTTCTATAACGGTAGCTAAAATTTTCGTTAAATAAGGGACATTTTTGTTCTTTTATCATTTATTTTGTCTTTTATTCAATCAAAATCAATTTTATGATTTTGGTTGCTATGATTTTTATTGGTAAAAAATAAAAAAAATTGATAAAAGAAAGAAAATGTCTCTCATTTAATGGAATTTTTTACGGCCATTAGAGGGAAACATAAACCCAAACATTTTTACAAACCGTGATAACCATCTCGTAATTTTGAAACTGTATGGATGAAAAATATTATTGTTAACAACTCTAAAGTCTCGTTTAATTTGCAGGAATGAAATGGATTAGGAAGGATTTGGATTTCAAATCCATTTCAATCTCATTTTTGGTTTGTTGGATTGTTCGGATTTGAAATCCTGGAATTTAATTGAAATCCTATAATAGGATTTTGAAATCCTCAGGGGGTGCTCGAGATTCACGGGATTTAGTAGGATTGTATGCAATAAGGTTCCAAAAATGTTAAAAACGTTTGTTTTGTAATAAACGATTAATAAAACTGTAATTTAATTATTTTTATAATTATTTACAATTTTTTTATAAATTATTTAAAAATAATGAAATTCAATTACATTTCAAATCCTACAAACCAACACACTAGGAATTCTACAAACATAGGATTTTGAAATACTTAGCGGACCAAATCCCTTAAAAACAATCCTACAAACCAAATGGAAACTTAGGGGGCGTTTGGTTCGTAGAATGGAATTCAATAGAATTGGAATTCATCAAATGAATTTGACTTTGAGAGAATATAATAGAATTCGATGGAATTTGACCATGTCTTTTGATTGCGTTTGGTTGGATGGAATTGGAATGAAATTCTTAACCGAATTGGAATTTTTTTGTTTCGTTCACGGAATTCAACGAGAAAATTACAGGAAAAAAAACTGAAACCGAAACTTTCGGGCTGGGTTCGGGGACATCTTATCGGGGACGGGGCGGAGATCGGGGACAAATTCGGGGATTTTAACTAGGACGGGGGCGGGGACGGTGATCATCGGCCCGGCCTGATATGTTTATGTATATTAATTTTAATTTATATGCGTATACATATATATATATATATAATATTAAATTCGGGGATTTTAACGGGGATTTTTAGATTTGTTTCGGGTTTCGATTTCGGGTTCGGTTACAACCAACGGTGAACAGGAAAAAAAGGATTTTTACCTTAACGAGTTCCCCAACGGGGATCGGGGAAACCGCGAGACCTGATAAGATCCCCAACGGGGATCAGGGCGGTCATGGGGACGGGTTTAGTTATCGGTTTCTGGGACGGGGATATCAATAACCGGCCCGAACCTGGCCTGTTGTCATTCTTAGTTTTAAACGAGATCGAGCAAAGGAGATCGAGCATAGCAGAACAGAGCAAATCGAGATACAACGTCGATGAATGGATGAGGGCTAAGGAATTTATCGGATTGGAATTTGAAATCCGTGGTATATGTGGTGGAATTGTGAAATCAATGAATTAGGGAATTGGTTGGAATTGGAAGGATTCCCTCACATCTATTATGTGAACCAAACATGGGATTTGGAATTTGGTCAAAGGTTTGGACATTCCAATTCCTTCCAATTCTACTAAATTCCATAAACCAAACACCCTCTTAGAATTTAATTGGAATCCTACAAACGTAGGATTTTGAAATACTTAGTGGATGCTCGGAATTTTCAAGAGATTATATCAGTAATGGGGCTTGGGTGCAAATTAAGATAAAAGAAAAAGATTAATTTTTTAAAACAACTTTAATTAATAGTACTAATGCATCCTTTTTAAGGGGAGAGTAATAAACGTTGGTACACTATGTTGAACATGGTGCATGAATGTGGATAAAAGTGAGTACCAATAATTATGTACTCTTATGTCGGTGTTTTTTTTTATTAACCTGGATATCCAACCCGATATGCGAGCAGACTAATCCCAAGGCAACCACCTGCTTTGCAGATAGCTCAGAGTCACCGCATTTGAACCTCCGTGACCACAAGGGGATTTTTATTTCTCCTTGGATTTGAATCTGGGACCTCCTGGTACTTTTGACCTTTGGAGCCAAGCTCAAACCAATCAGGCACCACCTTTGTGGTTGGTGTTTTTTTTTTGAATTTGATTAAAATAAACCCTAAATATGTTTCACTTCAGTATGGGTTGGGTTAATCTGGCGTATGTTCAAGGTCCATAAAAAATACAGTCCAAGTTTTTTAGTATATAGTAGCAGTTTAAAAAATTAGTAAATAAAAGAGGTTGTTACAACAAAATTAGACATCAAAAATTTCTAAACCGTTTTATAAGCCTTAATATGTAGGACTTTTAAATTAAACCATCTCATCTGAACAAGTTATAATAAGTTTATAGAATCAGAACGTTTTCTTGCATTGTAAAAAGTTTTTTACGACATTTATATAGAAAAACATTGTATTAGCTATTTTATATGTTACTATTTGAAGAAGTGTCATATAAAAACAAGTGTCCTATAAAATGATGGGTTCTCAAAGGCGCCCAATAAAATAGGTAATGTGACGCTTTATATTAAAAGTGTTGTAAAAAATTTGTTAAGACGCTCAAAAGTGTCTTATAAACTTATTACAACGCCTTTAGATAGTTAGGTGGTGTTTTTTTTTAAGAAGTACTGAAATCTAAAGTCTGATTTCATTTCTGATTTATAAAGAGGAAGGTGTCCTATAAACTTATTACAAGCATTTAGATAGTTAGGTGGTATTTGTTTTTTAAGAGGTGCTGAAATCTGATTTTACTTCTGATTTATAAAAAGATGGTGTTGAAATCTGAAATATGGATCAATAAGACTGTTTGTTTTTACGTCTGGAATCTGAAATTTGAATCAGTCAAACTAATGCAAAAATATAAAAGATAAATAGTTTTTTTTTTACAAAAGTATAAAAGATAAATAGTTTTTGCTAACAAATCTCTTACAACCCAAAAAATATTCTCTGTTTGATAAAGAGTGGATTAGGATTAATAGGTATTAAATGATACGTTTACCACTTAAAATTTCAAAGGACATTTAGAGCTTTTAAGCTCTTATATATATAAAAAACACTCTTAATACCCAAAAATCTTAACAAATCAGACTTCAGAGATATTAAGAAACAATTTT